GGGGGCATTACTACGGGTGAGGAGTCAGAGTGATGCCCAAGGATTCGCGAAAGTTGTACGCCGAAGTAAGTGGGAGACTCCACCTGACTGGACTGGTTTTTCTTCTTCTCTTCTCTCTTTAGTTTCTGTTTTCTTTCACACCTAATCAGGCATGACTTAAATATTTTGTTAGTGTAGCTGGTAGTTAGGCAAGTGCACATGACCCCCCACCGACGAGCTAGGCCACCGCCACTTCGCCCAACATCGAACATACGGTTACGTAACAATGGCGCCCAACGAAATAGCCCAATAGTCTTTTAAATTTCCCAATATTTTTCACTTGTCTATACTTCTATATTCCGTACTTTTATCTCCCTTTTTCTAAGTTGACTATCTCCATACTATTAACTTGTATCTCTACTTTTCGGACGGTTTTAGGGTTCGTGATGGCAACATCGCTATCGACCAGTCGAAAGCGATATGTGCCACCATGGCAAATGAGGGGGTTGTGCATACGTACATACAGGGTTCCTTTAATATGTAGTCTTCAGAGGTTGTTTAAGTGGTACCTGGAAGTATTAGTTGTACATTAACATGCAGGAGGGGATTTCCTTAACGTTTTTGTGAAGGCAGGTGCTTAAGCTACCAAGCAGGTGTTCCAGCAACAATTGTTAGTGAGGCTTGCAACATGTCGACATGAGGGGGTAAGGGGGAATTAGTGTTGAAGGGAATGGTGTTGCATCCGTGCATAAGTACCAGTTACAGAGCATCGAAGTGCACACCTTATAATGAATCGGGGGCTATTTAGTTGACTTGACCTTGGACAGAAGACTCATGGACCGTAAACCCCCATAATGACCTCGCCAAGGCAACACCACATACACATCAAAGCAACATCATTATTTGGTCACAGTTGAGAACACCTGTTTAACATATTTGACATGTCATAAGTATTTAAGAGCTACTCATTTGTGTATTCTCAGAGTTTGTACTCTTATTCCGTATACATACATCATTTTTCGTTAAGTTGAGCATTGTATGTACATAGCACATTCATATTCATATAGAAGTAAGCACACTCGCTGTAAGGCGGAGAAAGGGCATTTATTGTAACTAAAACAAATTGAATAAACACACTCGTTTTGGAAGTCAATCAGAGCGCATCGTTTGCCTTTTATTTAAAGTTTGCAACTAGCATTTTGGTAAATATTTTTAATATATTTTGCGGTTGTGAAAACCCTCACAATCCTATATTTTGGCGCCCAACGTGGGGCACGATTCTTAAATAAAATAATCGAGCATTTCCATCATTTTCGTCATCGCTGGAGGCTCGCATTGGTGGATTCCATCGTGGTCATTTCCAACATCGGAACACGCAAATTGCAATATCCAAGGTCAGATGAGAGTCATTGGGACCAAGTGTACACCATTCCACCCGAAACTAAAAAGAAACGGGGAAACAGTTATACTTTGCACTCACTTCGGCTTTGCAGTTTTGGGTAATTCTGCTAAGCACACACGGCTTGCGCACACTTTGCGTCGCCACCGCTGCTACTACTTGGGGGAGTCGCTGTTGCTGCCGCCGTCGCTGCCACTACTTAGCTGATACGCTGACGCGCGCTCGCACTTCATTTGCGCACTTTGCTGTGCTGCTCTCGTTAGCTCGCTGCTGCTATTTCGCTTATTCGTCGCCTGTGTTAGATCTACGTGTACGCACGCTTTGCTTTGCTGCAGCTGCTACTTAACAGATTCGCTGGCGCTCGCTCGCAATTCGTTTACACAGTTTCAATTCGTAGGCGCTATTTGGTTGCCCTACGTCTACGCACATCGTTTCTTCGCTGCGGCTAATGCATTAAGGGGCTGCTGCTACTTATCTAATAGCTGTCGCCCACTAACAGTGTCACTTTCGCATTCGCTATTTTGCGCGGCCTAACTACTCGGCACTGCCCAACGTACGCCAAAGGAGGTTTGCCGGCTGTCGCTGCGGTCATTGTTGCGTCGCATCAAATAGAACACATCGCAGCGTAACTACACTACCTGCTTATATTCCATCGACTGCTCAGCTCATCGCACAACCCAACGTGCAGATTTTTGCGCACACAACATCGAATCATTTGGACTTGGTGTACAGCGAGTACTTGCACCGCTCTATCTGCATCACAATTTGCGCCGATTGCTGCTGATTGCCGCCACCTTTATACGCTGCGTTAAATTTGTTGAAAACGTTCATCATTGATACGACTGACTTTATTGTTTCACCAACCATTGTATAGTAAGTCATTTAATTTTAAGCTTATTTCACCATGTCTCTGGAAAGATTGAAACAATCTCGAGCTAGTACTAAAAAAAATATAACACGTATTAAGAATATTGTCAACGATAGTTTGAAACCAGGGGGACAGGCGCTGTCGCCAGCGGAGTACAAGTGTCGACTTGGGATTCTCGAATCCTACTTTAAGCAAATACTGTCGATACAATCAGAAATTGAAGAATTAGATCCAGAAGACAACGCCCGCGGGGATTTAGAAGATCTCTATGTAACGACGAAATTGATTATTCAGACGCAATTGGGGGAGGACCATAACGCAACACTTTTAGATTCCACTTGCATAGTGCAAGCGAGCTCAAAATTGCCGCAGTTGAAATTACCCTCTTTTTCTGGAAAGTATTCCGAATACAGGAATTTCATCACGTCGTTCAAGCAAATTATTGATCGCGAACTAAGTCTTTCCAACATTGAGAAATTCAACCACTTGCGCAATTGCTTACATGGCCAAGCTTTGGAAGCAGTTAATGCGTTTCAAGTCACGAATGAAAATTATTCTAAAGCGTTGGAAAGACTTAGAGCTCGTTTCGACAATCCAACACTTATTTTTTTGGAAAACATCTCGTCGTTGTTCGAGCTTCCTTCGGTTTCAAAACCCAATTGTGTTGAATTACGAAGTCTCATTGACAACGCCTCTGCAATTTTCGATTCTTTACGTTCCTTGGGTACCGAAGGTGAAATTGCCCAAGCCATGCTAATATATTTGGTTATACATAAGGCTGACGATGACACAAAAAAGAAATGGAAACAATCATTGGACTTTAAAAGGTTATCTTCTTGGGAAAACTGCACCGATGTTCTGGAAAGACATTGCCAATACCTCGAGTCACTTACTGGCAATAGCGCTTCCGCTCCGCTAACTCCGACAAATAGTAAGGGCTCGAGAGGACACAAACAACAGAAGAGTCATACATTTGCGCTTTCTAATTCGCCATGCGCGGTCTGTTCAAGCGGGAGCCATAAGATTTTTAATTGTGATCGCTTCAAATCTTTGACCGTCATACAGCGCTTTGAGCAAGTAAAACGAATAGGGCTCTGTATTAATTATCTCACTAGAGGCCATCAGTTGTCAAAATTTGGTCGCGACAACATCACAGCCTACTTCACCGTGCTACATCGAGTTCGCCAGAATCTTCCAACTCTTTGAATCAGTCACCTCAACCGCTATCAACACCAGGTTTGTCTGCGACCTCAAGTCGTGCTACCACTCACACTCACTTAAAACACTCTTCGTTCGATCAAGTAATTCTGGCTACTGCCATTGTCCTAGTTCGTGACGCTTCAGGCACCTATAGACAGGGCAGAGCATTGCTGGACTCTTGTTCACAAGCTAATTTCATTACCGATGAATTTTCCCAAAGGCTTTTGCTACCCAGAAGCAAACACAATATTGAAATCTGCAGTATTGGGCAGACATTAACCAACATCAACTACAAAACTACTACATGTATCAAATCCCGAACAACCGGTGTCGAATTGCCTCTAGCATTTTGCGTGACATCAAACATTGCTTACGAATCGGGATTGGAGATCGATATTTCAGCTTGGAATATACCATCAAATATAGAACTTGCTGATGAACAGTTTTATAAGTCCACACGAATTGATCTTCTTCTAGGCACCGAAACCTTTTTCAGTTTATTATCGGTCGGCCAGATTAAGCTTGGCGATAATTTACCAGTTTTGCAAAAGACGTTGTTGGGATGGGTTGTCTCAGGTCGCTACCAGTCAAATAGCAACAACATTAGATCATTATGTATGGTAGCTTGTAATGATGAACTAGATAAAAAACTGGAACAACTCTGGAGGCTCGAGGAAGTCACGTCCGTTGGAGACATGTGGACTCGTGAGGAACACAGTTGTGAACGCCTGTACACGAACACGGTTTCACGAAGCCAGACCGGAAGAATAATTGTCAAACTTCCATTTAAAGATGACCCCTGTTGCTTGGGTGCTTCGTATACGACTGCTCTGCGTCGTTTTATGTCACAAGAGCGCCGCTTGTGGCAGTCTTCAGAACTCGGAAAACAGTACGCTGCCTTTATGGAGGAATACGAAAACTTGGGACATATGAGTATTGTTGAGGAGCCAAATCTTAATGAACCTCACTACTTTATACCACATCACTGCGTCTTAAAGCCATCAAGCACTTCGACGAAATTGAGGGTTGTCTTTGACGCGTCCTGCCGCACCACTTCGCAAAGATCACTCAACGATATACAAATGATCGGGCCAACACTACAAAGAGAGTTAGTAATGCTCCTTTTAAGTTTTCGACTACATCGTTTCGCATTAACCGCTGACATTGTAAAAATGTACAGACAGGTGATCATAAGCCCAGAACATCGCAAGTTCCAATATATTCTTTGGAGAAAATCGTCTACAGATAAGATTAGTACGTACCAATTAAATACGGTTACTTATGGAATGGCCGCCGCACCATACCTCGCAATACGAAGCCTATTCTATTTAGCTGATCAGTACGCATCACAATTCAAAATAGGGTCAAACATCATCAAATCATCGTTTTATGTAGACGATCTTTTATGTGGTGCCGATTCAGTCGCTGAACTTTTTCGAATCAAACATGAGGTAAGCGAATTGCTGAAATTGGGTGGGTTTGAGCTTGCGAAGTGGCACTCAAACCATCCGGAGCTCAAAGTTGTAGGAACTGTGAAGGATTTGAAACTGGACGATTCCATCACAAGCACACTCGGTATTAAATGGAATCAGAATTGTGACTCCTTTCTTTTCACATTTGAGCCGAAACAGCGTAGCAATAGCCGAATCACAAAGCGATATATTTTATCTATTGCATCTACCCTTTTCGATCCTCTTGGTCTTCTAGCTCCGGTGAGTATCACTGCAAAACTCATCATTCAGGAACTATGGCTGCTCAAACTCGAATGGGACGAGTCTGTCAGTCAAAGCATTCAAATGGCTTGGTCCAAGTTTCTCAACGACATGTCGAATCTTAATTTAATCAAAGTTCCAAGATACTGTTTAGGAAGAAACATTCAATCGCTTCAGCTTCACGGATTCTGCGACTCGTCAATTCGTGCGTATGGCTGCGCAATTTATACGCGCGTAGTAGACAGTAAAGACAACATATTCGTACATCTTCTTATAGCTAAGTCGAGAGTCGCGCCTATTAAAAAACAAACGTTGCCGAAGTTAGAGCTCTGTGGCGCTTTGCTGCTTGCACGACTTCTTTCAAAAATTAAACCAATTTTTTCTAATCACAAACTTGACACGTATCTATGGACAGATTCGGAGATAGTTCTGCATTGGCTTAAAATGCACTCCGCTACGCTTTCTACGTTCGTCGGAAATAGAGTGTCCGAAATTCAGGATCTAACTGCTGACGTAAATTGGAGACACGTCCCGACTCAAAGTAATCCAGCCGATATTGTTTCAAGAGGCAGCACTGTAGAATAACTCTTGAAATCGAATTGGTTCACTGGTCCGTCGTTCTTGTATGATAATGCACACAAATGGCCTGATAACGACTGCAATAACGTTGACATGGAAGTCGTAGAAAGGGAGAAACGCAAGGCAGTGTTCACTATAATATTAGCGTCGAATTACATTTTGGAAACTATTGACAACATTAGTTCATATATTCGTAGTATTCGATTAGTTGCTATAGCAAGCTGCAAAGAAACGTAACCGAGAACTGCCAGGACGGACCACTTTCATCGCAGGAGATGCATCACGCCTTGCTGTGTATTGTATGGAATATACAACAGCAGTACTTCGCTGAGGAACTCCGCCTGCTGAGAAAAGAGGC